TGCTGGGCCGGTAAAAATATTATCACCGGCAAATCTCCTTCGGCGGTATAAAAACTGAAGTAAATTATAGTACCGGGCCGGTGCTGGGCCAGATATTTTTAATCAACCGGCCCGGTAAACACTACCAGTACCGGTAGAAATCCACATTTACCACCGGGCCGGTACTGGGCCAGTATTTATTTCATATCCGGCCCGGTACCTTTTTGCCGGTACCGGCATATGTCCGACTTTACAACCGGTTCGGTACCATGCCGGTCGTTAGTGCTGGCACACCTCCAACTTTTCTGCCTGGGCTGCTGGAACTCTGGAAGTAAAGGGATAGAAATCCTATCTCTTTTAATATTTTTTTATCTCTGAGATAGAAAGAGATAAAGTTTCTCTATCTTAGTCTATCCCCACTTTATCACTTCAATCACTTTTTATCTCTCCTTCTGTATAAATCTTTTTCAATAACCTTTATTTCATCTCTTTTAATACTTTCGATATCCACACCTATCTCTTTCTATCTCTAATTTCATCTAAGAATATACTTATCTCTTTTAATAATCTTGTTTCTATCCCAGGCTATCCCTTTTTTATTCCCCTCAATCTCCTTCTATCTTCCCTTTTATTCAATCTCTTTTAATAACCCTTACTTTATCGCCTTTTTTATCCTCTTACTAATCACTTCTTTCCCTTTCTATCCCTATTTAAATCTCAGTCCATACTTGTCTCCTTTTATTTCTTTGGTTCTATCAGAGTCTATCTCTTTTCTATTAAATTAAAAAAAATTCGATTTTTTCTTTTTTCTTAATCTTTTTCAATAACCTTCATTTTATATCCTATTGAATCCTTTTTCAATCCCCAAAGATAACTTTTTATACGCTTTTCAATGTGACGATTTCATGATAAATAAAGAGAAATTGAAACTTTAAAAGGGAGATCAACTGCACAGGAAAAAAAAAGTCTGACTCCGTTTACACCTTAAATTCAGCCCATGTATTTCACATAAGTCTGTCCTTGTTTAATGGGGCTGACTCCGTTTACACCTTAAATTCAGCCTCGAAAACAGGCTAAAAGTAAAACTTTTTTTTTAGTGTGTGAGAGATAAAGAGTGATAGTGTGTATTCGACTTGCGTCCCTAAAGGTTCAGGGTTCGAGCCCTCCTGCGTGCGAGATTTTTCAAATTTGGTTTTAAGTGTTATATGTGCATAATGTTGGTTAATAATGTGAAATGAAATATAGATATAAACAATAAATAATAATTTCATAACAAATAAATAACTTGATTTGTTAAAAATAGGTAATAAATACACTGAAAAAAAAGTGCTGTTGAATCAAATATCTCCATGCTATTGAATTCCCCGTCATTGATTCGATGACACATTTATTAATCGAAAAGTATATTGCTTAAAATGAAAAAATGAAACTGTTTAAATTAAAAGTACGGTACTGTAGAATTAATGATATTGTGCAAATTGTTTCTATAGTTCATCTATATATAGCAACAGAATTATTTTTTTGCTTCTTTGACATTATTCATTTGAAGCATCTAATAGATGAATTTGAAGAAAATGCGTGTAAATTTAAATCAAATGAAAAATTGTTTGCTCTAAAGAAGCGCGCTCTGAAAACGAAAGCATATGCTTTCGTTTCAATGAGTGGTGCTATTGCGGACTGCCTATAGCATATGCTATAAAAATAAGAACACTATGTTTTGAGACATTGACAGGTACTAAATTTATTGAAATACTTACCCACATATATTTATATGTTTATTAAACCTGTCGTTTTTGAGATTCCAATATAAAAAAGTATTATTTAAATTCTTTTAATTAATTAATGACTAGTTAAATATAAATTCCCTATATAAATTCCCTTATATACGCGAAAAATCTCGAGCACGGTATTTAACCACAAAGTAAGTGCCCAACGTTGAGAAGCGGATGTATTACATTGCAGCGCGGCGGTTCTCGTCTATCACGGAAGTTAAGCGTCGTTGGTCGCGGTTACTAAATGGATGGGTGACCGCTTGGGAATAGCCGTATTTTTCTGACTAAAAAAGATAAGTGTGTTTGAATGTGTATGTGTGTGTGTGTGTTTAGCCGTTGGGAAAAATGAAAATAATAATAAAGATGTATATGTTAGTGTGAAAAATTGAAAAAAAGATGTGTATAAAAAGTGTTGTGTTAAAGGTGTGAGAATTAATTATAGTATATAAAAAACATGTGAACAAAAATTCCCTTTTTTCAATTTATCGTTGGTATATATTTAACCACATAAAAGAATTGAATTAACAGTATGGTGTTATTCAATCGATAGCAACAACTAAAAAAATTAAGAGTACAAATTTTTGAATCATAAAAATGATGCTTTTAAATTTAAAAGTTATAGTCATTGACTCAAAAGCATATACTGTTAAATTAAAAAATTTTGTTTATTGATTCAAAAGGATTCACCTTCGAATTAACATAGTATGCTGTCAATTTGAGAAATATGCTTTTGTTTCAAAGAAAGTGATACTATCGAATCATTAGAATCGGTGCTTTCAAAACAACAGCATATACGTTAGGCAGCCTGTTATGACACTATTCAATGAATCAAACCCATATGTCATTGATTCAACAGCATTTTTTTCTCCGTGTAGAAGTACGAAAACTCTAAAAATATTTGTTTTAAATAATAAATTCAATTGAAATTGTAATACTTCATAAAGTCTTTAATATTGTTAATAATATTGGTTAATTAATTCTTTATATATTAAAAAGGATAAAAATTTGCAGCAAAGACAAATAAAAAGAGATAAAAGTACATAGGTATAAAAAGAGATAGATAGGGGATAATAGGGTATAAAAAGAGATAGAAATTCAGAGATAAAAAGGTATAATATTTCGGGTATGCAAAGTGGCTATTTCAAAAAGGGTTAGAAAAAACTTTATCTCTTTCTATCCCCAAAATTCTATCTCTTTCATTCTTTTTACTTCCAGTAGGGTGGCTATCTCACCCGGGCATTCCGGGAAGAGATGGCCAAATGCACTTTTTGTAAATGTAAATTTTAAGATTGTTTCTATAAAAATATTTTATTTTGTTTTTCGTAATTTTAAAGTTAAGTGTTCAATGTTTAATTATCAATAAAAGTTAAGACAAAAAACGCTTTTTTATAATTTTTATAATCCTTTAAAAAAACTATGGTCATCCCCCCGGACTTACCCTATCTTGATAAATAATAAAGTTCTTCTTGAAAATTCAATTATTTTTAAAAATTTAATAAAATTCTTTTCAAAATTTCACAAGAATTTAATTATTTACAAAATTTTTAATAAATTTCTTCAAAATAATTAAATTATTTTCATAAGTAATACAATTTTCACAGAAATTCAATTATTTAAATTATAAAATTTCATAAAATTTTTCGAAAAATATCAAATTACCTATTTAAACAGATTTTTATAAAATTCGTCGCAAGAATTCAATTGTTTAAAAAAATTAACAAAGTGCTTTTCAAGAATTCAATTATTTTTATAAACTTGGATAAAATTCGTTGCAAGAATTTAATTATTTATATAAATAATAAAATTCTTCACAGAAATTCAGTTATTTTTATAAACTCAAATAAAATTCGCTGGAAGAATTAAATTATTTTCTAAAGTAATAAAATTCTTCGCAGAAATTCAATTATGTTCAAAAATTAAAAAAAAATTCTTGTCAAAATTTCAAGTATCTTTATAAATAATAAAATTCTTCTCCGAAATTCAATTATTTTTGAAAAATTTTAATAAAATTCTTGGGAAAATTTTAATTATTTTCATAAATAATTAAAATTATCGCAGGATAATTTTAATTATTTTTGATACAATATTTGAATCAAATTCCTCGAAAAATGTAATTAATCTTAAAAATTTTCTTAAAATTTGTCAAAAGAATAATTCAATTATTTAAAAATTTCTTGATAAAATTCTTTATGAGAATTTAATTTTAACAAACATTCAATTATTTAATAAATTATTTATCTTTTAATTTAAATAATTGAATTCTTCTAGAATTTTCTAATAAAAATTTATTTATTATTTATAAAAATATTTGAATTCTTGCAACGAATTTTATTATATTTTTTTTAAATAATTGAATTTTTTAAAAAAATTTTACTACTTTTAAAAATAATTGAATTTTTGCGAAGAATTTTATTAGGATTTTTGTAAACAATTCACTTTTTTTTGAAAAATTGTACGGTAATTTAAATTATTACAAAACATGAAGAAGGCGATCACTTCGTGTTGAAGACTCGGAGTGATCGCCTTCTTCATGTTTTGTAATAATATTCTTATGTTGAATTTCAAAAAGGTTTGAATTTGAATGTTTTGAAGAATTTTAATTTCTACGGAAAAATAATAATTAAGTATTTATTTAAAAATGAAGTTTCCTATTGATATTTTCGAATAATTTTACTTTTTTGAAGAAATTTATAAATAAATGTAAAAGAACATTTTTTTTGAGTGTCTAATAATTTTTAGAGTGAATCAGAATATTCTTTAGGTTCAGGGAAAAAGTGAAAATTTCGTCTGAAAATCAGGGAAAAAAATAAATTTAAATATTTGTGGCAACCCTGTTTTGGGTATGTTTATTATAATGTATTTATACAAGTAAATTTTGAACAAATATTAATAAAAAAATTTGTATTTTCTAATTTATTTACATCCTTTTTTTATTAAATGTTCAAAGCTGTTAGACTAGATATATAACCTTTTGTGCAACTTAACTTAAAAATTAAAATTATAAGTTAAATTCAAAAAATTTTGGTCAAAAATGAATTCTACAAATATAAAACATTATTTCTACAAATGAAATAAATTCAGATACAATTAAATACAATTTAAAAATGTTTCAAAAATAGTTATCACGAATATGCTTCCGCATATTCGTGCAGATTCGCAGTCAAACAGTTATGTTAAACGAAACCTTTTGTGGGTGTATTTCGGGTATTTTCGATCAGGTTCGTATGACTTCGGCATAAGAGGCTTGTGTCGATCCTGAATAGCTTATGGTGGCTGTATTTGAGCTGTGCAAACTATAGTAGTCTCAGTAATGTGATGTGCTTGGCTTCGTTTTTACAATTTTTGATGTTTTTATAAAATATCTTTATACAGTAGGTTATTGGGAAGCGGAGATGATTAAAAATGGTTGATTCTTGTTGATATTGAGCTGATAAATGCTCTATATTAACTTTCTTTTAACAACTAGAAGATGTTAGACAAAATTTACTGCTACCTGTCAAAACAACACTCATCCAAGTTCAGTTACAAAGTGTAAAACTAAAAGCAATTTACAACCCACTTTGGTGTTTAAGGGAATCGAAAACATGTTATCGTTAACATTGTAAATTATGTTAATTATTTAATGACGAAAATACTAATGTAAGGTTCAGGAGGATGAAAATTTTGATTTATGTATGACAAAAGTAGCGAAGTGAATTATTAAGATACACCTGACTATACTATACTTTTGGATATTATTAACACGTGGTGAACAGAATGCTGTTTAAGCTGATATTGTTTTCAATATTTCTCCAACAATGTACAGGTTATTTCAATTTTTTCTTGGATCAATTGGAAGTTCGAAAACTAATGGGTAAGTTGAACATTTTTATGTTTTTTCATCCAAAAATATTATTAGAAATTATATTTTACTACGAAAATAAAATTATAAGACGAATTTAGATTTATATGAAATTTACATTATTTTTCAGATAAACTTTAAAACAGGAAATTACTATTTACATAAAACTTATTTTAATAAATAAGTTATATATATATATATATATTTTCCAGACAATTGTTATTTGTGTACATTACAATTAATAAGAAATTAAAAGTATGAAAACTTAAATTTTTTTAAGTTAAATAAATAAATATTTAAACAAATTTACACAATTTGAATTAGCAGAATTAAATTATGTTTAACAATTAAATAACCTAAAAATTTATAATTATTATTTGAATTTCTGGACTATTAATCTTTTAGTAGAAGTGCTATTCCAAGTAGGAATTTAGTTTTTTCAAGGTAAGTAAACCAATTACCTACAATAAAACTTAGGAATTTTAATCTACAAATAAAAAGAAATATTTCCACCAAATATTACGTCAAAATATTCAGTAGTTTTTGAAATGTCAAAATTTTGGAAACTTTTCAAAACGTTATATCTCCTTTTCATCTTAATCAAAACACTTCATTCTTTTTTTTTTAAAAACTCAACATAAAAAGACGAAAAATTGTTTATATTACACTACCGTCCGTGAGTATCAGGACGCCCCTTTTTTCATGAATGAAAAAATGCTTAAAACGTAGAAAATAAGAATGATAAAAATTTTTCGTATTTTTTCCCTGAAAGCTAATGAAATTATGAAAAGACTGACACCTGATCGAAGAATTTTCGTTGATTATTCTGTCAGATACAGAAAAAATACTGGATTTTGAATGCTTTTCGTAATTTTGTAATTTCTCGAAAACTAATTAACTTTTATTAGCGCTCTTGGTCTTGTTTTAATCTCTATTTAATGTAGAATCTAAATTATTAACTGGTATTGTGAAATAAATTTTTCCAAAAAAATTTGAAACCGTAAAAGTAGGATTAAAAAAATTCAAAAAATTATCATGAATAAAGTGTCAAAAAGGTCAATGTAAAATATGTTCATTTAATAGATATACTAAAATTCAAAAAAGCTTTTTAATTACTTAATTATTTAATTTAAAAAATTTTTTTTTTTTGAAAAAGTGTCAATCTGTTTTTCAAAATTTTTTTATCCGACTTTCACAGTTTCAAATTTTTTTGGAAAAATGTATATCACAATACCATTAATTAATTTAGATTCTACATTGAATAGAGATTGAAACAAGACCAAGAGCGCTAATAAAAGTTAATTAGTTTTCGAGAAATTAAAAAATTACGAAAAGCATGCAAAATCCAGTATTTTTTCTGTATCTGACAGAATAGTCAACGAAAATTCTTCGATCAGGTGTCAGTCTTTTCATAATTTCATTAGCTTCCAGGAAAAAAATACGAAAAATTTTTGTCATTCTTATTTTCTACGTTTTAAGCATGTTTCCACTCATGAAAAAACGGGCGTCCTGATACTCACGGATGGTAGTGTATGTTTATAAAAATTTTGTATAAACATAATAGGGTAAGTCCGGAGAGAGATGGTCAATTTCTTTAAAGAATTATAAAAATTATAAAAAAGCGTTTCTTGTCTTAACTTTAATTGAAAATTAAACATTAAACACTTAACTTTAAAATGACGAAAAATAAAATAAAATATTTTCATAGAAACAATCTTAAAATTTACATTTTTCAAAAAGTGCATTTGACTATTTCTCCCGGAATGGCCGGGAGAGATTGAACATTTTTAATGCAATTAAGTGCAGTTTTCATGTAGCCAAAAGTGTCGAATACTATCCTCAATCAATGTATGTACAGGGTGTCTACTAACCGGGAATTCCGGGACAACCGGGAAATAACCGGGAATTTTATTTGACCGGGAAAAACCGGGAATTAGACGGGAATTTTATACCGAACCGGGAATTTTTTCACAAAAATTAAAAAAGTTTTATTATTTTAATTTCTTTTTAAAAAATCAATTTTTATTTCAATTTTTATAGATATTTATACTGTTCTCTAAATTTAAGTTAGTTAAAAATAATTAATTTGATGATAAAAAATCAGTTACCAATTCAAATATATTATGTAAATAAATTTAAAAAAAATTATGGAGTTAATAGAAATATTGTGAAATTCGACTGAAAATATGTAATTAAATTTGTTAAAGAAATTCATTAGAAACTTTTTAACAAATAGAATTTTCAAAGTATTTTAATTTAATAATTGATTAATAATTGAATATTATAAAGAGTAAAATTCTAATGTATTCATGTTTCTTACTGCGAAGATTAATAATTAAAATTTTTATTAGTTAATTTAAAATAATATACATACTTAAAATTGTTTAATGAAATTGAACTTTCGCAAAATTTTTTTTAAATCTAAAAAATAAAATTGTTGTAATTTTTCAATTCTATTGTTTCAAGATAATTGAATTTTTCTAAACAAATCATTGAAATTTTTTTACTTTTTTTGAAAAATAATTGAATTTTTTAATAGAATTTTATTTAAATTTTTCGAAAATAATCAAGGGAAGTTAGTGACCATAATTATAATTTTATTTTTAAAATTTTAAGTCCCTCTTACAGTTTTAAATCAATTTTTTGCTTCTAAAAATTATACTATTCTATTATTATTTAATAATTATAATTATTGAACTTCTCTTAAATTTTTATCATTTTAAATTTCTGAATGTTCAAATAAATGATATTTATTTATTTCTTGAGCAAATTAAATGTTTATTACATATTAAGTAAATAATTAATTATTGCTGCTTATTATTTTCAAAAATTTTAATAAAATTTTTCACAAAAATTAAATTATTTTCATAAATAATAGCATTCTTTGGAAGGATTCATTTATTTTTAAAAATAGTAAAATTCTTTGCAGAAGTTCAATTATTATTATCAATGTAATTTTAATAAAATTGAAAAATACAATTTTCAATTATAATTATAAAGAGACAAGATTATTTTTAAAAACTTGAAAAAATTCTTTGTTTAATTCAAGTATTTTCCAAGTTTTTAATTAAAATTATTGAAAAAAACATTATTTTAAAAAAATTTAATGATTTATTTATGTTTGAAATCAAATTTAAATTTAAATTTGATAAGAAAAAAAACCGGGAAAAAATTAGGATATAGCCGGGAAAAACCGGGAAATAACCGGGAATTTTGTTAAACGAAAATAGTAGACACCCTGTATGTAGTTTGGTTGTAATCACAACCTATACGAATAGATCTTCATCTTTGGTGTCAATTAGATCAATTATTTTGTTTTCATACATTTTTAATTTTTTTTCTGTAATATTTCTTGAATATCTGAAATTAACATAAAAAAATTTAAATAAAAGTCACTTATTGCCATCTTACCCAATAATACATGACAGAAGTAAACATTAAAATATAATAAGTGGTATTTTTTATAAATTCTGTAAAATATTTGAATTGTCCAACTTATTCCCGTATGGCCATCTCTCCCGGACTTACCCTATAAACAATTTTTTCGTCTTTTTATGCTAAGTTTTTTGACGTAATATTTGGTGGAAATACTTTTTTTTATGTGTAGATTAAAATTCCTGAGTTTCATTGCAATTGGTTTACTTGCTTCGAAAAAACTAAATTCCGACTGTCTCGGAATTGCACAGAAGTCTAGCAAATGGAATAAAATTTGCCAATTCACTCTCTAAATCTGAATATGTGAAAATTCACATATAATTTGTAAGTTATAAGTAGCTCTCTCGTTCATTAGGTGTATATATGTCGTAGGCAAGTAGAGAAACTAGGCAAGTAGCTTATTTCCTAGGAATTAAGCTAAATTTTGGCAAATAGAAGAATGGACATGTGAAAGATGTGTATTCTTCTATTTGCCTAGAGTCAATCAGTATTTAAGCTTATTTCCTCGTTATTAAGCTAATTGCCTATAAATGGCCTCCGGCAAATATAAATTTTGACGTGTACATATTATATAGCAGAGTGTAAACATCGATTTATAAACAAGTTTTGTAAACATTATTTATTTATTGTCAACTTTATATTTATTGTCAATTTGAATTTTGTGCCATTTAATTTGCATTGTATAATATTGAAAATGAAAATTAGTTTTTTGCTATCTGCTTCGAGTAAGAGTTAATTTAATAAGTACTCTCGATAATGGAGAATAATATTATAAATGAAATTGAATTTGAAAGTAAATTAGAAGAATGTTTAAAAAAACAAATAATTGTTGCATGTGGAATAACAAACAACTCGAAAATGTAACAACAATATTAAAAGATGTAAAGTTATGTGCTGCAAAATATCTATCTTTATTACTTTTATTTAAACTACCACATTTTGTTGCAATAAGTAAAACAAAATTCATATTAACATTAACAATAAATAAATAATGTTTACAAAACTTGTTTATAAATCGATGCTTACACTCTGCTATATAATACACGTCAAAATTTCTATTTGCCGGAGGCCATTTAGGCAAGTAGCTTAATAACGAGGAAATAAGCTTAATTACTGATTGACTCTACACGGAGAAAAATGGTGCTGAGTTTCTAGTAAAAGTTCCTATGGAATAGTAATAATTCTACTTTTATATTAAAAATTACTATTCATAGTAAAATATACTTCGCATGAAGTAAAAATTACTATTTCTGGTAGTAAACATTACAAATAGTAATTATTACAGTAGTCACGTTTAAAAATTGCTTCAAGAATTTTAATTTTTACATCGTCATTATAAATTTTATTAAATTTTGTATTACTTTTTACATTCGATATGTTGTAAATATTACTGGTAGAAATTCTAATAATTAATACTGCGGAAAATAAAGATTGCTTCTGCAAGAAGCAACTTTTACTATTGCAGAACAAACTTTTTACTCGTAAAAGTAGTAATCCGTACCACTACTGTTACACACCTATGTGTGTAATCACGTCACTACTGTCATGCGCAGCGACCGTAACCTGACGTCAAAGTG